ATTGGTAGTGCGAAATTCATAACTTAGATTGTTAGTGGCTGTACCCTTGAGGGGGGTTGAAGTAGCGTAAAATTATTGTCCCCCTAAGAGGGTATGTAAGTCCCAAATCATTCGAAGTATTTTTCTGCACACTAGGCTTTTAAACGTAGTATCTTCGTTATTTTAATCTAAGGCTTAACTGGTACACTGTCGCCAGTGACTGAAGGGATGATATAAATCCTGCCGGGGTCCATGCAGGAAGCAAAAGTACTGTAAGTCCCCATCGTCCCCAGTATGGTGATCTCCCTTCAGTTGCTGACGATTTCTAGCCCATTTTTAAATTGTGATGTTCATTAATGCTTACTGCCTTTTAATATTCTCAACTAGTTTTAAATCAAGTCTGTGATATTCTAGTTATTCCACTGTCCTTCGTTGACAGCTTTTTATTCAGTTTAAATATATGTATCATAAATGTATCATAAATGTACTTTCTCGTCACGATATGGCTGAAATATTGCCCATGTGACGTTAAATAATAACTCACTCACTCACTCACTCTAACTAGCTGTGTTTGTAAAACGATGGAACGCATGGTAAATAATCGATTAGTGTGGTACTTGGAAACAAATAATCTTCTTACCAATATACAATGCGGTTTCCGTAAAAACAGAAGTACTATCGATCACTTAGTGCGTTTAGAATCGTTCATTAAAAATTCCATTGTAAATAGACAACATGCTGTATCGATCTTTTTCGACTTAGAAAAAGCTTACGATACAACATGGAAACATGGTATTTTAAAAGATCTTCATGATTTTGGATTAAGAGGCCGTTTGCCTCATTTCATATCACAGTTTTTAACAGACAGGCAATTTCAAGTCCGAGTGGGTACAACCCTGTCTGATCATTATAATCAGGATCAGGGTGTCCCACAAGGCAGTATTTTGTCTGTCACTTTATTCAGTATAAAAATTAACAGTTTGTCAAAAGTTTTAAATGATTCAGTTGATGGATCACTTTTTGTGGATGATTTTAATCTATCTTGTCGTGGTAAAAATATGCACACAATAGAAAGGCAATTACAATTATGTCTTAATAAAATTAACAAGTGGTGTCTAGAAAACGGGTTTAAATTTTCCAAATCAAAAACTAATTGTATACATTTCTGCAGAAAATATAAGCCACATAAGGACCCTGAACTATTTCTGAATGGCACTCCTATCAAAGTTGTTAAGGAGGCCAAGTTCTTGGGACTTATTTTTGATAACCACTTAACTTTCCTTCCACATATTAAATACCTAAAAGCTAAATGCCTGAAGGCACTCGACTTATTGAAAGTAGTTTCTAATTCAAAGTGGGGAGGGGATCAAACAACCCTCTTACACTTATACAGGTCACTCATTCGTTCAAAACTTGATTATGGCTCCATCGTCTATGGTGGAGCCTGTAAAAGTAATTTACAAAAACTCGATACCATCCATCATCAAGGACTGAGGCTTTGCCTTGGAGCTTTTAGAACGTCTCCCATTCACAGTCTCTATATAGAAGCAGATGAACCTTCTCTTAAACAGCGCCGTCTAAAATTATCTTTACAATATGTCACTAAATTATATTCTAATCAGTCCAATCCAGCTTTTAATTGCGTCTTCAATCCTCTTTACCAAGATATTTACAATAAAAAGTCATCTCTTGTTCCACCACTCGGAATCAGAATCCAGTCTGCCTTGTTTGCTTCCAATATTAAACTGCATGATATAGCTCCAACTCAACTGTTTTCAACACCTCCTTGGCAAATGGTACGGCCAGAGGTTGACCTTACATTAACAAAACTAAAGAAATCAGACACTAACGAATTAATTTACCAACAAGAATACAGTCAATTAAGAAACAATTATGACACATATAAATCTATCTTTACAGATGGATCCAAGGATGGTGGCGCAGTTGCTAGTGCCACCGTCATTGGATCCAGAACAATATCTTCACGTTTACCTGATAACAGTTCCATATTCACAGCAGAAGCAAACGCCATTTTTACAGCACTTAAATATATCAGTAATCAAGCTAAACATAAACAATTCATACTATTTTCAGATTCTCTTTCATGCCTTCAGGCGATTAAAAATATGTCATCAAAACATCCACTTTTAATCGAAATTCTCGAATTATTTAATGATCTTGCTACTGGCCAATATGACATCGTCTTTTGTTGGTTACCAAGCCATGTTGGTATCATTGGTAACACAATGGCCGATGCTGCTGCAAAAGCAGCCCTCAACAAATCTGTGACACCACTTCTGATCCCATACACTGATTTTAAACCCATGATTCGATCTTACATCAGAGATCTTATGCAACAGAAGTGGGACGCCCAAGTAGGTATCAATAAATTACATGAAATTAAACCAAATATCGGTTACAACTACTTGGGCTGTCAGTCCAGATTTGAAGAGGTCATTATGCGACGATGTCGTATTGGCCATTCAAGATATACACATGAGTATCTTTTAAATGGTGAGGATCCTCCGTTTTGCATCCCTTGTGATGAAAGAATCACGGTCAAGCATGTCCTGCTTGACTGTATTGATTTTTCCATCACAAGGGATAAATATTTCAATGTTAAAACAATTAAGGACCTTTTTAATGATGTTAATTCTCGTTTACTGTTATGTTTTTTAAAAGAAATAGAGCTTTTTCATAAATTTTGATGTGCTAACTGTATTGTTTTAAAAATTGGTAGTGCAATTTAATAACTTAAATTGTTAGTGGCTATACCCTTGAGGGGGGTTGAAGTAGCGTAAAATTATTGTCCCCCTAAGAGGGTATGTAAGTCCCATTTCATTCCAGGTATTTTTCTGCATACCAGGCTTTTAAACGTAGTATATTCGTTATTTTAATCTAAGGCTTAACTGATACACTGTCGTCAGTGACTGAAGGGATGATATAAATCCTGCCGGGGTCCGTGCAGGAAGCTAAGGTACTGTAAGTCCCCATGGTCCCCAGTATGGTGATCTCCTTTCAGTGGCTGACGATTTCTAGCCCATTTTTATATTGTGATGTTCATTAATGCTTACTGTTTTTATTATTCACAACTAGTTTTAAATCAAGTCTGTGATATTCTAGTTATTCTACTGTCCTTCGTCGACAGGTTTTTATTTCGTACAATTATGTGTATTATTAATGTACTTCTCGTCACGATATGGCTGAAATACTGCCGATGTGACGTTAAATCTTAACTCACTCACTCACTCATGAGCCTGATGACACAGTCAATGAAGCCAATGACAATGATCAAAAATATGTGGTTGACATTGATGAACTTGATGAGAACTCACAAGATGGAAGTGTGGAGATAATCAAGCTTTTTCCTGAGCCTGATGATGCAGTCAGTGAAGCCAATGAGAATAATCAAGAATATGTGGTTGACATTGATGAACTTGACGAGAACTCACAAGATACAAGTGTGGAGATAATTAGAACTGATGAAAGTGTGATGCTATTCTGCACTGTATCCTCAAATGTATGTGAACAGTTGTGCAAGAAGCTTGATATTCAACATCAGTGTGTATCAAAAGCTCAGGATCATGAGTATGGTGTGGAAATTGGTGAACCATGTAGAACAGTATCTATTGATGGTGATGGCAATTGTTTCTTCAGAAGTCTTTCCTATGCAATCTCTGGCAAAGAAAACAATCACAGGAAAATCAGACTGGCTGTTGTGAAACACCTAAGAGAACATGCTGAAAGCTTCTGTACATTCTTAAGACCAGGTTATGACTCTGTTGAACAATATATTTCTCAATCAAGAATATGGTATGTTGGAACATGGGCAACAGAACTAGAAATTCTTGCAGCTGCAAACCTACTGAATACTGACATTTGTACATTCACTGGGAACAGGTGGCTAAGGTATTCATGCAGTCAGATCAATTCAGACACACCAAACACTGGCAGAGGCATATATTTGAATCATGTTGGTGGATCACATTATGAAGTTGTTGTTTGTGTAAACACAGTTGATGTCTTGAGAAACTCATGCACAGACAAATATTGTGAGAAACATATGAATAGCAGTGCTTATACAAGAAGGAAGAGACATGCTAATCAGTTATCTGTATCTGACAAACACGCGATGTTGAAAAAGCAAAAATGTTCTGATTCTGAAGAAGGGAGACCTGCTGAAGCACAAACTAAAAAAAAAGGAGGAGTGAGTGAGTGAGTTATGATTTAACGTCACTAAAAAAAAAAAAAAAAAAAAAGGAGGAAAGAATGCACAGGCAAAAGCTAAAAGAGAATATATCAGAGCTAAAAGACAATCAGAGAATGTTAAGTCTGAAACATTGAATGTTAAACAGAGAAAACTGGCTAAAGAGAGAGAAAAATACAAAACTGACCTTGAATTCAGAAACAAAAAGAAACAGAAAAGTTCAAATGCATATGCTAAAGACAAAAAGCACAGAGAACTCGTAAAAACCCACAGCACTGAGAAATATGCTAAAGACGAAAAGCACAGAGAACTCGTAAAAACCCGCAGCACTGAGAAATACGCTAAAGACGAAAAGCACAGAGAACTCGTTAAAACCCGCAGCACTGAGAAATATGCTAAAGATGAAAAACATCAGCAAGCTGTTAAATCAGCAAGCAATGCGAAGTACAAATCTAGTTCTGAATACAGAGAGAATTTGAAACAGAGACAGTCTGCCAAGCGAATGCAAATATCAAAAGAAAGGAAACTCATGGAAAATGTTACACAATCTTTTTTCAAGAACATTTCTGATGGTCCAGAATTTGTGTGCTCGGTGTGTCATCGAAGACTTTTCCAAAAACAGGTTGTTCAATGTAAAAAAACTTTGTATGAAAACAAAGGAGGTAATACAGCATCTGTATCTGAGAATTGCATCACAGACACTTACCTACACAAATGCACAGACAGTTGTGATGACCACTGTTCATTTGTCAATAGTCCAGAAGGCACATTGTGGATTTGTCATACCTGTCACAGAAAACTTTTGTCTGGTAAAATGCCTGGAGAAGCTGTTGTTAACAACCTTGAACTGACCCCTGTTCCTATGCAACTACAATGTCTAAATGAACTAGAGCAGCATTTGATTGCCTTGAATATCCCTTTCATGAAAATGATGACATTACCAAAAGGTGGACAACATGGTGTGCACGGACCTGTGATATGTGTTCCCTCTAACATTCAGAAAAGCACCAGTATGTTACCGAGATGTGAAGCAGATGATCAGATGATCAGAGTGAAACTGAAAAGAAAGATTACTTACACAGGACATTATCAATACAAGTTTGTCAACAAGGCCCATGTTCAAAATGCTTTAGAATATCTTCAAACAACTAACAAATGGTATAGAGATGTGAACTTTAATGAAGACTGGGTTAATCCCTTGCCAGTTATTGATGAGGAAGATGAAATTATTGATTCTGATACTGACACATTATCTGAACTTGATGAGGAAATTACTGAACACGAAGTGTCTGAGAAAGAGGGTGGAATACTCATGAATACCTGTCTACAACCTCTTGATATTGGCCAAGAAGTTCTTGATCAACATTTTGAAAAGATAACCTGTGTTGCACCTGCTGAGGAAAATAATCCTGTACGAGTATTAACTGACAAAACCAATGAAGCGAGATCTTTTCCAGTACTGTTCCCATCAGGGTCCCCAACATTCCATGATGATCGTGAAGAGAGGATCACACTTGCACGTTATCTGCACACACGCCTCATGAACGCTGATCGCCGATTTGCCCAAAACACTGACTACATATTTTATGCTCAGTATCTCTCCGAAGTTGAACAGGTTATGTCAAATGTTTCCATTGCAATGCGAAAAGGATCACAGTCACATGGTAAAAATGTTACATCTGAAAATCTTACAGATTCTGATTCTCTAAGAGAGATATTAAAATGTGATGAAGGGTACAAGTTCTTGAAACCTATCAGAGGAACTCCACCATTCTGGCAGTCTGCTCAGAAAGATTTATTTGCTATGATAAGACAACTTGGTATTCCAACTTGGTTTTGTTCATTTTCATCTGCTGATATGAGATGGCCAGAAATGATTGAAACAATACTGAGAGAAGAAGGTGATAAACGCAAAGCCACTGAACTTGACTGGTCTGAAAAATGTTCTGTACTCAGGAAAAACCCAGTGACAGCAGCCCGAATGTTTGATCAAAGATTCCATTGCTTCTTGAAAGAGGTCATCATGTCTCCTGCAGAACCAATTGGAAAGATAAAAGATTACTTCTATCGTGTAGAATTCCAACACCGTGGTTCCCCTCACACTCACTGCCTTTTCTGGGTTGAGAATGCACCTAAGATTGACAAAGACAATGATGAGACAGTAAAATGCTTCATAGACAGGTACATCACATGTGAAATGCCTTCTGTTGAGAATGATGAAGAATTGTTTGACATTGTCAACAGTGTCCAGAAACACAGCAAAAGACATTCAAAGACATGTAAGAAAAATGGCACAACATGTAGGTTCAATTTCCCTCGTCCACCAAGCAATGAAACTTTCATATCGCGAGCAGGAGGTCTTGACAATAACCCCAAAAATGATGTGCCCAAAACCTTGGAACAGTGCTGTGAAGATCTAATAAATATGGAAGTGATGACCATACCAAATGCTCAAACAATCTTGAAACTGATTTGGCAAGCTCTTACTGATGACGAGGAAACATTTGACTCTGTTGATGCATTGTTCTCTGCCATTGGTATTTCGCAAGATATGTTTCAAGTAGCATGTGATACTCTATCGAAAAAGACAAATGTTGTGATGAAACGCAATCCCAATGATGTATGGGTCAATCAGTACAATCCCGATCTGCTCAGATGTTGGAATGCGAACATGGACATTCAGTATGTAGTTGATGCCTACTCTTGTGTTGTATACATAATTTCATATATATCAAAGGCAGAAAGAGAAATGGGATTATTGTTGAATCATGCACAAAAGGAAGCAAATAAGGATAACACTGATGCAAAATGTGCTCTGAAGAAACTTGGTGCTGTATACCTACACAATAGAGAAGTGAGTGCACAGGAAGCTGTGTTTCGAGTTTGCAATTTGCGATTGAAAGAAGGATCTCGTAAAGTACAGTTCATTCCAACCGTAGACCCTGTCAGAATGAGTTTGCCTCTTAAAATTTTGAAAAACAAACAACAGAGTGGTGAACTAGGTGAAGACGAAATGTGGATGACAAGCATTGTTGATCGATACAAGAGCAGACCCAAAGGTGACGAGTTCAATAAGATGTGTCTTGGAACTTTTTGCTCAGAATACAGAGTCGTGCCAAATGCTGAAGTATCGAGGGTTGCTGATGACAAACGGCACAGTCCATTAGTAACATTGCAAAACGGCCTTGGTCATGTCAAAAAACGTACACGAACTGATGCAGCAGTTATCAGATATGCCAGATTTTCTCGCACAAAAGATCCAGAGAAATACTATCACAGTATACTGCAGCTATTCTTGCCATACACATTTGATGCACAGTTAAAACCAGCCACTTTCAATTCATATGAAGACTTCTATCGAACTGGTGCTGTTCAGATTGGAAACTGTCCCGTTGAAACTGTGAAAGAGATTGTTGACAGAAACAAAGCAATGTTTGAGAAGGATGCTGAAGTTATTGATGAAGCTGAGGAATTGTTTGAAAGATCAGGTCAATTGGAAGATGCATGGGCTAAAATTAGTCCAGAGACTGAATCTGAAAGAATAGAATGTGAAGATGCACATACGCATGTCTCAGATGATGAAAGTGAAACTGAATCTGGTAGAAATATGCCTGATTTGCTACAGACTGATAAAATGGTATCTAACACAGAACTGCTTCAGAGTACAGTGTCAAGACAAGAAGCAGAAACTATTTTGAGATCAATGAATGACGAACAATCTGATGTGTTCTACAAAATTAGACAATGGTGTTTGGATAAAAAGAAAGGCAAAAATTCTGAGGCATTTCACTTATTTCTCACTGGTGGAGCTGGTACTGGAAAAAGCCATTTGATTAAGGCAATTTGCTATGAATGTACACGACTTCTAGCTCCCATGCAAAACAATCCAGATGATATCTCTGTACTTTTGGTAGCTCCAACTGGTATTGCAGCATTTAACATACATGCATCCACAATACACAGTGCACTGTCAATTGGAATTGATGCAAAACTGCCATACCAGCCACTTGGTGAGGAAAAGATCAATACCTTACGAGCAAAACTGCAAAGTCTCCATATCCTTATCATCGATGAAATTTCAATGGTTGATCACAAGCTGTTATCATACATTCATGGTAGACTGAGACAGATCAAACAAACTGCTGATTATTCACCTTTTGGAAATGTATCTGTGATTGCTGTTGGAGACTTTTATCAGTTATCACCTGTTAAGGGTAGACCATTGTATGTTGCCCAAAATGGATATGACTTGTGGAATGACAATTTCTCCATCACAGAATTAACCAAGATCATGAGACAAACAGACCCTGCATTTGCACAAGTTTTGAATAGATTGCGAAAGCGAAAAAGATCAGAGCCTCTTGAAAGAAGAGATATTGATATGCTCAAACAACGAGAATCTGGTGAAGATGATCCTGATTGCATTCACATGTTTGCAACAAATGCTCAGGTTGATAATTTCAATGTCACTACTCTTCACTGTAAATGTTCAGATACAATTTCCATTGAGGCACAAGATTTCGCCAGAAACCCCAAAACAGGAAAACTTGAAAAGAGCGAAAACCCTCATGAGAAAGTATATAACTCAGTATTACCAAAAAATCTGCATGTTGCAATTGGAGCTCGTGTGATGATCACAAAAAATATTGACACATCAGATGGTCTTGTCAATGGTGCCTTCGGAACTGTTAGCAACATTTCTTTGACTGATGGTGAAGCCTTTCCTTCAAGACTATATGTAGTGTTTGACAATGATGATGTTGGTAAGAAATTACGGAAAGTGAAGCAGGATGCATCCAGATTACAAGCTAACAGCACACCCATTGAGCCCCTAGAGGAAACTGTTACAAACAATGGAGGCATCAGACGACAATTTCCACTCAAACTAGCCTGGGCTTGCACCATACACAAAGTACAAGGCATAACTGTAAACAAAGCTGTCATCTCATTAGACAAGATCTTTGCAGCGGGACAAGCTTATGTGGCATTAAGTCGAGTATCCTCTCTTGATGGTCTGATCATTCAGGATTTTAAAGAATCAGTGATATACAGCAGTGAAAAAGTTGAAGCAGCAGTGTGTAGTATGCCAAAGTTCATGAGTACAAATCAGAGAATCTATGATGGTCATCCTACATTTACCTTGATTATGCAAAATATTGAAGGCCTTCAATCACACATTAAAGATTTGCAGAATGACAAGAGATTTCTTGAGGCTGATTTCATTTGCTTGACAGAAACATGGTTATCTGAGGGACATCGAGATGATGAACCAAAACTTGAAGGATTTACATTACATCATAAACCCAGATCACAGTCCTATGAATCATCTGAACCAACACTGATGGATTTGAAGAATCAAAGTCATGGTGGTGTTGCAGTGTATTGTAGTAATGTCAAATGTGAATTTCCTGACTTACGCGTGTCCAATCTAGAATATCTGGCTTTTTATGTCATGGAACTGCAAGCTAATGTTGTTGTCATCTACAGGCCAAACTCAGACAAAACGGATATTTTCAGAAAGTATTTATTACAACTTATTCAGGAACTTGATAACCATTCTGGTCGAGCCATTATCAAGGGTGATTTCAATGAAAATGTTTTCGTGTCATCTTCAATACAGACTTTGATGGAATCAAATGGTTTTGCACAGATCGTTTCAGAGCCTACTACTGAAAGTGGAACGCTTATTGACCATGTATATGTCAGAGGACTTGAGAATGTATCTGTTCAGATTCTTCCAACATACTTTGGTTACCACGAAGCCATTGAAATAAGATTATGAATTATTCTGTGAAAATATCAAAAATAATTCCTCACATGGAAAATAACCATCCATAAAGCCAGTGTAGGGGGTAGGGGGTATGACATTGAACTGGATGGACGCCCTGTAGATACCGGTATTGTTAACATTGGTCAGAGAAAGTATTCCATGTATATACTAATCAAAAGAAGTTCAAGAACACCAAATTCTTTCATATGACTATAGTTAATCTGTCCATTATTCTGTGCATTGTGTTATCTAGATTCTATTGACCCATTTGCTACTATAACTTTGTTTAAGTGTGATTAAAGAAAATCTTCAGAAAAGTTTACTCTCTAAACTCTCATGAATTGTTCTTCAGCAACCCATGTTTGTTGTAAGAGGCGACTAACAGGATCGGGTGGTCACCCTCGCTGATTTGGTTGATGCATGTCATTGTATCCCAATTGTGTGGATCGATGCTCATGATATCAATCACTGGATTGTCACGTCCAGACTCTCTTACTTATCGACCGCCATCATATAGCTGGAATATTGCTGAGTGTGGCGTAAAACAAGAACGAAACACTCTCTAAACCATTCAATGGTAGCAAATGACCCATGGTATGTATAAATTATGCTATAATACATTCAATAATCAAAGATCAACATGGCATGTTGATCTTTAATCATTTGATACTAAATTTGGATGCTATGAAATCAGTAATAAAGATCTGGGTTGGAATAAGTCTTCAGCAACCCATGGTTGCCATAAAAGGCAACTATGCTTGTTGTAAGAGACGACGAACGAGATCGGATACTTGCAAATTACAATTATGAAACTGCTTGTTCTGAATCATCATATCCAATGTGTTCTGTCCACAACAGTAATATTTAAACATATACCCACTGCCAAAAGCAACGTGAATACCAGACATCTTGGTTAATTTATGAAGACTTAATCATATTCAAGCGACATAAGATCAGCTCTATGCACAGCCAATATACTGGTATGTTGTGTGAACTGATGCCTGAGAGCACACCATGATGCACCATTTGTCTTGTGCAGGATAAGCATGTAAACTTTGGAAATCATGTGCAGCATATCAACATCAGAATAAAATCACTAGGTGTTAACATTTGACTGATTGTTTGTTTTTTCATTAATTGGTATACATTTGAATCGCTTGTTATCGTACATCATGGTGCATAGGTATCTGTTCCTATTGTTTGCGTTTGTTTTGGTGGTGAGTATAGTTGGAACTCATGATGAAATTTATTATTCACTGACTTTGAACATGCACAATAGCATACATACTTATTTCTTTTAGTATTTTGATGCCCGTTGCATCTGTGACCCTCAAATAGGCATGTGGTTTTGGTACCACCGAAGTTTACACTCTAAATATTACTGTAATCAAGTAATCACTTATCAATGGATACTGTAACATACATTGGGTACTCGTGTATCTGTTGTGCAGAAATGTATTTTCTATTGCTTTGGTGAAGTTTTTCAGAAATTAATTATGTTTGGCCATAATGTTTATAATCATAAATGCAAATCAATTGATTTATGAATTATACAGTACACATTATGTGAGGTAGTAAACATGGTAACCCTGATTCCTGCATTGTTTATCATGTGTTACATGAAAGATGTGTGTATTATTGATTCTTCCTGTTACATGAAAGATGTGTGTATTATTGATTCTACCTGTGTAATGCTGATAATAGTAATTTGTCATTTCTGTATGATGTTCAAACAAAATTCAGAACACCTTTCATACAAATATACAATGAAGTTCTGAAGAGGTTGATCATGGCATGAATGCATGTTGTATTATTGTACAAACATGTGCATTTGAAGATTTTATCACTTGTATCGATATCTGATTAATGATAACTTACTGTGATTGGTTCTGCTTCAACAAGCTCAGTGAACTGTGAAATTAATAGCTTGTTTGTTGACAACTTTTCTGTAATGAACATTAAGAACAAATAAGGCATAACCACACAGAATGGGTTACGATGTATTTGAAAACATTTCTCAAATACAGACACAAGACAGTTGAAGAGGCCACATTTGACTAGTCCTTCAGACTCTGTGAGAGCTTGACAGATCAAGAGTCACATAAGGACTACAAGTACCTTGTCATCTATTATCAAGGATATGTTCTATCAACAAGAACTATTATCATTCTGATACAGCCAAGTGACATCATATGATATCAATAGCAACACAACAATCACAATTGACTTGACAGAGTCTTGTGACCTTTTCCTTCGGTGAATGCTGGTGCTACATGTAGAACAAGACAAGATTGTGTGTACTGGTGTCATCGCTCTACTTTAAAAGTGATTTCTGAATGTGGACTATTGAGTTCGTCTCCAAATTGTTTGAACAGAGATGTGAATGTGAACACCCTAAACATCAAACAAACCTGCAACTGATATGCCTCAGTGATTTCTGTTTATGTACTGATGTTGTGACTGCCTGCTCTGGTATAACAGTTCAGACTTCAGGGACATCCTTGCAATTCCTTCAGACACGAAGAATACACTGTCATACTGATGAATATATGGGAATTCCAATATTGTATTGATTTATGTAACCAAACGTTTGTGATCAGAAAGATAGTACTTTCACAACTTTCTGAAATAGCAATGTTTCCATCGTTTCTGTGTTACCTCATTTCTTGTAACTCATAGAAATACCAATGTTAATTTTTCAGGGTCAGTTTACAAGCAGATACTTTAAATGTTAATCAGTAACATGAATTGAAAAGGTGTATAAGTCAGGAATTGTTTTCTATTCAGGTTCAAAATACCCAAGGGTAAATTCTAGTATGGATCTACATCCTCAAGATAGCTTAGAATCTAGCTGTATAATTAATAAATCTATGCCTTCTAGCTGGGTTAAAACCTCAGGGCACAATCTAGGCAATCGCCAGAATATACGCAAGGAAACACTCCAGTATGGATCTACAGCCTGAGCCTCTAGGTTTGAACCTTGAAGTAACAATCGGGACAATCACAACACAATGATTCTATTATGGATTGACACCTTGTAGGTGCCCTTGAACATGGGGTAACAATCCAGGGAAATCGCTTGATTCTAGTATGAGTCTTTACCCTGTAGGTTGACTTGAACCTTGGGGTGTGATCTGGGAAATCATTTGAATATGTGGAAACATTCCAACATGGATTTACAGACTCTATTCAGGTTCCAACCAACCAGTATAAATGCTGCCAATCATCACAAAATACTCAAGGGTTGACTCTGGTATGGATCTACATCCCCTTGCTGGGCTCAAACCTGGGGTAACAACTTACGATATCTTCAGAATATACCCAAGGACATAATCTATAATTGATCTAAAGCCTGTAGTTGGGTTTGAACCTCTGGGTAAGATATGGGGAAATGACCTAAAAAAATGGAAGGGTACATTGTAGTATTGATCTAAAGCCTCAAGGCAGGTTTCAACCTCAGGCATCACATACACCATTTTATTTATTACTTATATCAAGCATTGTGAAAAGGCTGATATGTCTTCTGTCTATCACTGTAGAGATGTATTCATATGGTGTTGTTTTGGTCACAATAGGTTTAACTTGTCATCATGGTCATGCCTACATAATACATGTTTAGTGTGTTGATATTTTACTTTCTTCATACTTCGGTTCTAAGGGCACAATACACCTTATTCTTGCCATGAGCTACAGTGTCTTTGAACCTCAGGGTATAATCTGTAAGATCTTAAGAAAATAATTTTACAGCCAAGGCAGATTCTTGTATGGATCTACACCCTATTACTAGGTTCGAACCTGCAGTAAGCATCTGCGAAATCACCGCAAAATATTCAAGAGTTGATTCTAATATATATGTATATCCTGAAGCTTGGGTCGAACCTGCAGCAAAAATCTCTAAAATCAACACAAATTGATTCTAATATATACTTACTTTACTTACATTCTAACCTGGGGTAAGAATCAAGGAATTCCCCACAATCTACCAAATTGTTGATTCTAATACAGATCTACATACTTTAGCTAGATTCAAACATGGAGTAACACCTTAAGAAATTATTACAAAGTACCTAACAGAGGTTCAAGAATAGATCCATTTCCAGCCAGACTCAAAATATTTATTTCCAAAGGAATGGGATTTGTATATCTTCTGTATATCTGTTTATAGTATGTTAATTGTACAAATGTGTTCATAAAGTCTTGCTTGGGCAATGAACTTTTTTCATGTTTCTTATTAAGATACATGGGTGGAGGCGAAAACGGTTCCTCTATTGCTAATAACGATATATGTGGTAGTATATCTGATTTGTGTTATTTGTTACATATTATTTGATGTATTTACATATTATTTCCTGTTTTCCAGTTGTTCACACATAACTACATACATTCACATGTATACAGTTCTCCACAGTTTTCATCTTCATCCCACTTTACTTGCCCTGTGTGGCAAATGGAATCCAAAATAATGAAAATCAAATGTGAAAAAAACATATCCTATCTGGATGCCAAAAAACTATTCAAAATTCAGACCACTACGCCCTCAACTATGTCCTACTCCGCTGCAGTCTCCCGCTCTGTTACAACATCTACTATTTCGTGTCAGACTGACTTGACATGGGTCACGTCAGATCAACCAGTTGATACTATTCCAATCACTCAGCCTATTCCTACCATCAGTCTATCCAGTTCAGGATCTCAGACTGAGATTCAGTCTGAGAAACCATCACATACGTCAGTCAAACAACCAGTCGTTGTTCATTTGTCGACTAAAGAAAAAAAGAAATTGAAGAAAAAACAACTGCCAATCGTCCCTTCACCTTCAGAGGTTCCTTTACAGAACTCCTTTGGGCCTCTGGACATGGAGGTTACTCTGTCCTCACAGGACAGGCGGGGGAGTAGTTCCTCCTCACATTCACGCGAGCGATCTCCAATTGAGCCACCATGACTCAATTGTCTAATATAATGCAATGGAATTGCAGAGGACTTAGGCATAATTTTCATGAACTACAGTTATT